AAAAAAAAAAAAGAAAATTTGACCCCCAAAGTGGTCTTTCTCATGCTGAGACAGCCTCGACCCCTCCATCTGACTGATGTGTGTTTTCCTTTCCTGAATTTCACTTGTGGCATATTCCCCTGAGCATCGGATACTTACTCTCAGGTTATCTGTCCCACTTCCATATGTGCCTGTCATCACGTTTGCATGTAAACAGGAGGAAACTTCTGCAGTCTGTTAACCCATGAAGCCCTTCTGTTACAATATGGAAGTACCTAAGCAGAAGGTTTACATGTTATTCTTATTAACAGTACCAGTAGAAACTGGTTTGAATTTAGCTTTTCCTTTGGGTAAATTTAGGTCTAAGATATAATATGAACAAAGAGGTTAAAAAGTTTCTGATTCACGGGTTGGGTGTGGGCAGTTACTGCAGATACTGGCACACAAGGGACAGTAGAATTCATTGTTGCTTCGAGATGGGAACTGGTCAGTCCTTTGTAGTGGGTGTTTCCATTCCAACCCTACTTCAGAGACTAAAGCTTTGCTGTCTCCCTTCCGACCTCTCCTTATTTTGCTGCAGATCTTACTCTAGCACCTCCATAGAAGAGGCCATGAAAAGGGGCGAGGACCCTCCCACCCCGCCACCGCGGCCACAGAAAACCCACTCCAGAGCCTCCTCCTTGGATCTGAATAAAGTCTTCCAGCCCAGTGTGCCAGGTGAAGTGCCCCTCTGCACCCCAGTCTTTCCTTTTCCTGTGGGAGTCCGTGGATGTGTGTCTGCCACAGAGGCCTTTGTGAGTTCACGGGACGAGCAGACCTGGCCGTTTCCCATCCTGGGAAGGTCTTCGAGTTGCTATGGTATTCCTGGGAGGGAAAGCAGTTCTAGGCAGATAGATCTCCCATGTGTCTGGAGCCTTGCCCACACTTGCTATGGACCAGGAATTAAGAAATTCTGTACCAAGAGGATTAAAATACTTTAACCCCACATAGCCCACTGAGTGTGCATGGCTGGGGTCTTGTTCTCTGCTGCATTGTGGTAATTTATATATGGGATTACTGTCTGTTACTTCCCCAACGCTTACGCGGTTCTTTTGTGAAAGATCTTGGTGATCAACACCCGGCCAGAATCTTCTCCTGTGTCTTACCCATGTGGTGAAGATCCTGTGTCCTGGAGGGTTTAATGCTAAGGGGGCTCTGCTTTCTAAATCTGACTGATGGTTAGCTGGTTGGTGGAGGGGATTAAGGCCAGGACTCCTCTAGGTAGCCTGCTGGGGGCCTTCTGGGGCTGGGACTTCCTTGAGGCAGCCACTATACAGCTGGGCGGGTGGTGAGGGAGGTTGGAGGGCCCTGTCTGCTTGCCTGGCTCCCTGGGAAGGGGGAGAGGTCCTCCTAGGGAACTTACAGAGCAGCAGATGAGAACCATGCCTTGGCTTTAGTGAAGGTGCTAGGATGCAGCACCTTCCCAAGTGTTATTTTGGGAGCAGCGAGGGCCGTTCCGCTGACTAATGTAGGCAAGCTATAAATACAGTGATTTCCTGGAACTTTTTCTATATCTGTGTGCATTTTAAATCAAGCCAGCCTCAGATGCTAGTGATTTGCAGATTATTATATTTTCTACTAAAGCAAGAAAAGACTCTCTTTGGCTCACACATTAGCATGACCCCTGTGTCCCAGCAGAGCTCAGCATGTTTTAGTTGTTCTAATAAAGTAGTCTCCTCACAGTAAAGTTACAGATTGTTTTTTAATATACTAGAGTCTGGAACTCTCTATGAAATTTGATTCTCTGCCATGAGTTCATCAGATAAAAATTTGCCTTGCATTTTCCCCCATACTTTGATCCAAATTCTGGCATAATTTCATAGTAACTGGTATTTGAGGTGGGAGTAGCCACGGATGATGATGCTATAAAAATTTCACATGGCTGGTGGATTATGACCTAGAAGGTTTTCCTATGCATACAAGAAGATTAAAACAATCTGGGCAGCTATCTTAATATGTTTTCCTTGGGAGGAGAGGCTGGAAGCGTGCAAGCATCTCTCTGGCTGTGCAAGCCCACGAGTGCCGACCGTGCTGGGGAATGGATGTGCTGTGGCTCTTCCGACATTGCATCATAGAATGGAAGAGACGAGGCTGGATTTGGAGTCCAGCTCAGCTGCTTATTAACTGTTTAATTTTCAGCAAGTGGCTTAATCTTTCTGCATTTCAGATTTTTAATCTGTAAAATAGGGCCAACTGTCCGCGGAGTTGTAGGGTTTTGGTGAGATGATAAACATGATCCTAATAGCAGCATGTTTGATCCATACGCACTCATTTGCACAGAAGATCATTGAGGAAAGGGAGTCTGAGGATAAAGTCCCCTGACTCCCTTGATCTCCCGTGGGATAGTTCCTTGGTGGGCTCACAGAGGGACCGAGCCCCAGTTGCCTGCTGTGGTAGAAACACAGGATTGTGAAAAACAGGGGAAGTGAGGCTAGATTGCTGAGTCAGAGTGGCCTATGGTGGACTGACTGTGTGGAGAAGAAACAGGATGGAGAGATGATGCCAAGAAGCAGGAATGAAAGAGGGAAGTGAAGAAAGTGATGAGGTGGTTGTTACATAGGAGGGCTGATGTTTATATAAAGGGAGGAGAAGGATATAGGATAAAAGACTGTAGCTACCAAAGGGAGGAGAGCCCACAGACTCGGTGTCGGATTTGGGTGGGATTTAAGGGAAGAGCTTAGAAGAGGGTGGCATTAATGCCTTCACATTTATGCAGATAGGTAACATGATATGGGGAAGGATAACAAAGGGCTGATTTGAATATTTTATTTTTTTAAAGTAATCTCTACACCCAACATCGGGTTCGCACTCACAACCTGGAGATCAAGAGTCGCATGCTCTACCGACTGAGCCAGCCAGGTGCCCCGCAAAGGGCTGGTATAGAATGTAAATCTATAAAAATGAAGGAGGCCACTTGGCAGTCAGGGGCAATTGGCTTTACTTTGATACCTGTAAAACAGTCTCAATTTATATTCACAGGAGTCTAGATTCTCCCAGGGCTCTAGATAGGTAGGTGCTGGTATTAGACCTAAAGGTGTATGCTTTCATAGGCAGGCATTGGTATGACACGAATGCTGTGTGTAAAAGAAAGATCAGATCACCTTTGTAATAGCTGATCCAGGTTGCGGAGCCATCCTCTCAAGGCTTGAACAGCTGCTGTGTTTGAGAGAAAATAAAAATGTGTAAGAAAGTCTCTGTGGTGATGCAAGTGTACAAAACCTAGATGTAGTCAAACCTGGGACTTGTTCAGTGATGTTTAGATTTTATAGTTCTATGCTTATAGCCACAAAACATTTTATTACTGAAATTCCTGTAAGAAAAACCACACTGCGAAAGTAGTACTTTTTAGAGCCTAACCTCCTGTTCCTCATCGAAACAGTTGTTTTCATAAAGCAAATATTTTTCATAACAGGGTTATCTTTTGTTCCACTACCCTCATTCCACTCTCAACAGTGACCTGCTCCAAAGCCATGCCTAAAGCTTGCAACCAGAGGACGGTGCTGGTGAACCCCCTTCAGGCCACGGAGAGCCCTCTTCCAGTCATTGGGCATCAGTCAGCCTGGCAGGAGGGGCAGGGACTGTGTGGAGGAAACATAGCCATCCCTTTAAAGCTGCAGACCAGAAACCTTCATCACTTCCACTCAACTTTTAACTGGGAAAAGCTAGTCCCGTGGAGATAGCTGGCTGCAGGCAGCTGGGCAGTGTAGCTCCTGGTAGGGTAGCCATTTCCCGTTGACATCCCTCTTACTATAAAAGAGGAGAGTGGATGTTGGTGGACAGCTCTTTCCACCACATCCCGTATGGTCAAATACATTGAGATCCATGTGTTCAAACCATTGTGATGGCTGAACAAAACACATCCATGGGTAGATACTACCCATGGGTTGCTAATGTTTTATCTCTGCTTTAGACATCCTGATAATAAAAATCCATTCCGGGGCTAGGAAGTTATAGTTCATCCATATTATGAATACTTATGAAGCAGTTAAAAAGAATAAGGTATGTGTACTAAGTGGAGACCTATCTAAGTGAAGAAGGCACAGTGCAGAATATGTATGTTCTTTTTAAATGTGTAGACAGTTTCCGGAAGGATACTTAGAAAAGTAACAGTGGTTGCCTCTGGGGAAGAGAATAGGATGACTGGGAACAGAAGTGAGAGAGAAACTCACTTTTCATTGAATACCCACTTGTATCTTGTTGTTTTTTTTTTTTTTTTTTTAATTTTTTTTC